TTAAAAGTTTTACCCAAGGGCTATCCATATTTACTTACTGAGTTATTTCATAGTTTTCCTTGTCCACCATTTCAGGAAGCGAAACCGAGGACGGGGAAACCGAGGGGAGTGACGAATTAGAAGGCTAGCTATCGTGTAAATTGAATATGGGTTTTAGATATAAACGATGATCTTGTAAGCGAGATTTTAATTGGAGATTGTAAATTCATTAGTGAATTGTTAGTTTACAAGAGATTTGATCTGGAGATTTTGGGTTAAGTCATGTTGGACAAAAAATTAATTTTGAGATATCCGATCTGAGTTATGGGATTGTCAGATGTGAAATGGATAAGTTCTGAGCCTTGTGCACTTGTGGGACCCGTCTCACGAGTGCACGGCGTCTGTCGCGTCTCCGGATTGGGGTTCTGGGGTGTGACATAAACAATGCAAAGGCAGAAAGGAGAAGACAATAGAGAGGAAATCTGGCAACTAAACTTACTAGAACTCGAGTCAACCCTCACAGGTGACTCTCACATTCTTCCTTTTAGGGTTTCTTCATTTTTCTTAATCCAAATGATTTCTTTTTTGATTTATTAGAATCGGTGCAAAGGAGTGACAATGTCTTAGTAGCTTTGTAATGTTAAAGTTCATTTTTTTAGTTTTTGGCCCTCTTTAAAGTTCCATTAATTTCTTGAGATTGATGTTTCCCTTAAGTTTGGGGTGAGATAGCTGGCATTGACATTGTGGTATTTTGATTTTTTTCAGTTTTTCATTCGCTTTTCCTTGGTATTTTCATACAAATTATATGACAATTTGACAATTCAATTTGATATACATTTATAAATTTGCAAGTTTAAATTGATCATTCATATAGATATATAATGCAGAGTTATGAGAACTTATTAGCTTGCCTTCATTTTGCTTTTGCTCGCAGATCTATGTCAATTGGATTTTTTGGTCAAAGTGGTTGTTACCTGCTATATATTTTGCTTTTTTAAAGTAATTCTTTAATGTTTGATGATGATCCACAATGCTGGAGAGGTGGAAATTGATGAGTTTAGAAGGTAATTTGAATGATATGTCTTCTGTCATTTATTTGGAATCTTACTTTGGCTTGCTCTACATTTTTCTTCTTTCATTTTTTTTTTCCTTTGGTTGTATCTGTTGCTTTTAAGGTAGAAGAATTAGAAAAAGAAATTAAGGTGTTGGACTATGGCTACTGAATTAACAAGAGTTTAGTAATGGGTTTATTGTCTTATCAAGCAAAAAGTGTGAGCTTAAGCTAAATAAACCTATGTAACTATTATAGTATATCAACTAATCAGTTCCAATATATCTGAAGCCTATTTTTTAATTAAATTTGATCTGCAGTTCATGTCTGTATCTAGAGCCAAATGAGCACCATTGTCATGAACCATGATAATTTAGAAAATTTCCCAGATCCTTTTTATTTATTTATTTATTTCTTGCATGTGCTTATTAAGGTAGAAATATTTTCACTGCATAGATACAGTAATTATGATGATTGCTTTCAGTGATTCATATTTTTGATTTGAGCTCTTCGTTTGTGGATCTTCATTACTTTAACTTCTGACTAAGGGGACATTTATTTCTTTTTATTTTCCAAAAACCTTTGGTTGTTTTGGTTATTATAATTTTTATATATATTTTCTCAGGTGGTTACTTTATATTATTTTTCCTTCTATTAATTGTGTGTTTATCTTCTTTCATCAAACAATTGAGCATTATGTGTGAGTTCTTAGGTAGTAGCAAATCACTGTAACTAAATTTCATGACACTGAAACAATACCCCCTATCAGGAATCATGACAAACCTTCTCATTGTTAGAAACACGTATCCAGTGGTATCTGTAATCAATTAATTGGTTGCATGAATATTTAAATCCCCTCTTGCATGCAGTCCTGTAATTGTCATAGATCAGGGACATCCAGAACTGTTTTAATTCTTGGATTAGGGCAAATTCCACACTGCAACGAGGGAGTGGGGGAGGAGGGAAAGCTTGGAGGGAGATGCTATGCCAAGATTATTCCATGACAAATGAAAAAGAGGTGAAAGTTCTTTTTTTTCACTACATGTGCAATTTCCTGAGAAATCAGTTTTTTGACAGTGCTTAATTATGTCTTTAGATCAACTCAACTGATTATCAAACTTTCTCAGAATGTGTTAATGTGCATCTGCATGTTAAATTTCTCCTGTTAAAAAAAATGTTTCCTTTTCTTTTACTGAGTTTTGTACATCAACCATTCATGCAATCAGCTGAACATATTTCTTTACCTATGGAAATGTCACTAAGCTCTATGCCACTAAAAGGTGGTGCATTTGTATCCTAAGGCACATTCAGCAGCAGGCAAGTGGGATTTTTATTTAAGATGGGAAAGTTTCTATGTTATTGACTAGAATTCATTCTCTCATTTCTAAGTAGTGTCATTGGTAGCTCAAGAATGGGTATTTATTTGTCGATGAAATATGACATCTCTTGAGTTCAAGTCAAGGGGCAGCTCATGGTTATAACTCATAATGTAAGAGAAGAGTGCTTCCTAGTTCCAAATATGTATATGCCATCCTTCAAAAAATTATTGAAATTAATTGTTAGGAGTTGGGACCATGTTTGTTAAAAAGCATTTAGGAGCTTAAGATGACTTAGTAACTGTACACAGTACGATGCCTCCTATGTAGGAAAAGCCTTTGTTATTAGTTCCATTAGAACTACAGTTTCACTTAATACTTGATTGTCTTCTTATGTAGATGAGTGGAGGAGATCTGGAGTATTAGCATTTTCTGAAGGAGAGAGCATTTTTTGACATGGATTGGCACAACTGAAGGTGGAAAAGGAACTATGTTTGAGGGCTTTTCATACAAACTTTCCCTGCAATTCCCATTGGACTACCCTTTCAAGCCACCTCAAGTCAGGTTTGAAACCATGTGCTTCCATCTGAATGTTGATCAGTTTGGGAATATTTGCCTTGATATTCTTCAGGTATCAAATTAAGCAAGTTTATTGGTTTTCAGTTAAACCATTTGCTCTTAACGGCATGAGAATAAGATTGGGAAAAGAAACCTCCACTTCGTTTCTGTTATATTCAACTGTTTGAACCTATTGCCTTGATGGATATTGGAATTATAACATATTTTTATTTTTCATAGCATAGCTTTACTACTGAACCAAGGGATCATTGGTAGTGGAATTTTTTTATATAAATGTTTATTAATTAAAGTTCTTTGGATATCTTCTGTATTGAAAAACTCATCTTAATGTTGTAACAGGACAAATTGTCTTCTGCTTATGATTGCAAAACCATTCTACCGTCCATTCAAATTCTATAAGATCTGGTTTCTCTTCCTTTCATTTTTAATTCATGACACTGGTAAAATATCCCTCTAAATTTACCAAGAACTCTTCTTGCATGCAAAGCTGATCCCAAGGGTACCCTCAACAGCTATGCCGCAAAACAATGGAGCAATAAAGAAGGTTGAAGATTGAACCCTGTCATTTCCCATATCATATTTAATCCTCATTGTTGTTATTTATTGCGTTTGAAGATTAAGTTGCAGATATTAATGTTCCTAGGTTGACAACCGTTTATTGACCTAAACTAGGTATTATATACTATGTATATGCATTAAACTCTTAAGGAATTTGATTTTTCGAAAAAGAAATGTTGAATTCGTATACCAACTACACAATCTTATTCTTGCACAGAATTGCAACACTCGAACAGTCGAACCTTTTATTATATAATTATTGAAATAAAGCTTAACAGTCATGATTCTTTCTGCTTATTCTATCATGGCTTCCATTTCCTCTTCACAATTACAACACTGGCTACGAGATTGAAAACCCAGGTTAGTTACTCGCTGTTACTACTGCCTAATATGTTCAGCTCATGAGCTGGGAAGGATATCTTTGTGGTTCCCTAAGCTCCCTGAGAATTAGTTCTCTTCAATGCCATTCAAGCGGACTTCCAATGAAAACCCTCTCATCAGTAAGTAGAAATTAGGAGATTAGGTGTATGCAAATGAAGAGAGGACCTGTAGAGGGAGTTGTCCAGTTATTTGTTTGGGGAGTGAAGGGGAGTGAAGGGAAGTGGATGCACACTAGAGATGTCAAAAATCTAGAGAGGAGAGTGGAGAGATAGGAATCATCAAATTTTCCTAGAGAGATTCAACTTGCACACAGGGAATGGGACCTTGAGGACTACCACATGAAATAATCTGGCAGGAGCACCGCCTTGGCTAGCTATTTCTGTCATCATATTTCCTTCAATGTAAAAGATAGTTATGGTATATACATTTCTATTTATGCCATGGCTGTGTAATTTGCTACATTAGTGTATCTTTTATATATCATTCATCTATTTTGACAAACAATTGGTTAATATGTTTTAAATATTACTATTATATGTATATTTATCTAACAATCCAAAAATATTACTTAGTTATCGATTGGCATGAACAAACTAGTCACTATATATAGTCCATGTTCACTCCTTTTTAATTTATAAAACTAAGTCAGACTCATAAATATTTTTTTATTTGCCAAAACGAGGAATTTTTTGATAAATGCTTTTAAACCCTCAAAAATAAAAAAAATAAAAACAAATCAAATGGAGTGTATGGTGTTTATTATTTAGTGCCATTAGTCGCTCAGTCTCTATGCGTATTTGTAGCGTATCAACCATCTTACTCCATTTATGGACGATACTCAAACGGGAGAAAGGATGCATCAAAAAACAACTTCAAATCAACACTTCATGAGCATTGATCAGACGATGCACTGTTGCACGTGCAAGTGACAGGACCTTGGGGTGGATCCTTTTGCATCCCTCTCTTATGGGCTTATTTGGTTAGCCACTTCTTAGAAAAAGAATCCGGGGAAGCCCAACCAAGCAGGCCTATAGATTCGAAAAGTTCAGCAGCTTGTGCAAAATGATATTATTATTATTTTGAACAAGTTGACAATGGGTTGGGTTCGACCCAACCCAAAGAGTGGGAAATGCACCGTGAGGTGATTATTACCACTTGACCGGAAGGGTTCGATGCATTATTATTATATTTTTAATTATTAATATTTATATTTTTTAATTT